ACATTTGTGCTGCGGCGGGCTGGTCCTCTCCGCACACTTTTGTCCGTTTTTACAACCTAGACCTGGCATCTACCCCAGGTTCCCAAGTTCTCTCTTCGTGATGTCCTCGCAAGATACACACACAGGCAGGGACTTGGTAGTATGGCGCAGTGGGTATTCTCATTCCCAAAGTGACTCGACGCAGCTCGAGTTCCTGAAGGGGAACGTCTCTAGGTTATGTATGTAACCATGGTTACGAGACGCTGCGTCTCTTTGCCATACTCCCTGCATCCCTGCAGGCGGTACTTCATCGAAGTTGTTTTGCGCTCTGCTGGATGCGCTTTTATACTTTCTGGTGCTTACGTCACCCTGCTCGTGACGTCTCGCTGCTCCATTGGACTGATTTGACACGTGCTTCAGAACGCGGTCACGCAAGGGCATTCCCAAAGCGACTTGACGCAGCATCTCGTTCTCTCGGGGAACCATGGTTACATACGTAACCTAGAGTCGTTTTTCATGTTTTAAGCATACATCAAAGAAAATCAAAGGTCAAAATCAATTTGCAAATGAACTAAGGATAAATGTAATTAAATTTGTTTTGCTATACTGATAAGATAATTATAATTATAGTTAACATATTTAAATATATGGCACTAAAAGTTTTTTTTTCTTGTTATAATAAAATATGGACAAGAAGCAATTTGCCAATGGGTAAGGAAATAAAATGACCTAAAAACTTGTTGCTAGACAGCAATCTAAATAGTATAATGCAATATTTGATTTAAGTAATTATTTCAAATGTATTAATACAAAAATAAATATGTTGTATTGTTATGTCTAATAAATATTTAATGTCCATGCATTTATTTGTTTAAAACCCTGTATTTTCGTTTTTACCTATTGTTCCTGGATTTATTTAATAATTAATTTATTTTTCAGTGAAAAAATATATAGAAGCAAAGTGTAAGAGGCAAGGACAAAGGATAGAATAAAGGCACCGGGAGGTATTTGACCAGGATCTGGAGGAGCTACAGAGATGAGCCAGGAAAAGACAGTGATAGAATAAATTCCCACTCACTTGGAGAACAGCCTTCTTAATTACCCGACCCACATCCTGTCTCCACTCCGGTATGTCCGGGTTGGCCTCGTCCAGATTAGGAGAGAAAGATAAAAGAAGCGATTTGAAGAATTCTGTCACAGAGGAAGAGAGAAGCAGAGACAGACCCTTAATTATTTCTCTCATAAGATGCCCAACACCTTCTATCTGCTGTGATTTGTTCCAGATGATTTAGTCGAGCTGTAGCAGAGTTATCATTACTGACAGGTATGGAAAGGTTAGTGCTGATCACAAAAATGATTACAGTCTATTTGGCAGTTGCCAGAAGGGAGTTTTTATGACTAGCTTGCAGTGTCAAGAGACAATTTCCTGTAATTCTGAACACTCTGAAAGCTGCAATAATACATTTCATCAAGGGTAGGGTTATTTATAGTCAGTGGTCGAATTGTAAAAATATTTTAGGTGGGTCAGTTTCTTTTTCGGCAGGACGGGGTGGGGGGTTTTTTTGTAAAAAAATATTTTTACAATACAAATATTCTTACAGTTGTTCCTGTAGCTAATTTTACATAATGATTACAAAATTTGTGTAATTTTTAAAAAGGTTTTTATTTAATGAAAAGTTTGTCTTATTAAATGAACTATTATTTATACGCTTTTTTCCTTCTGGTGCCTGAAATGGAGGAATTTTTGTCAATATTTTGCTAAATGTGTTTTTGTGCTGGTAGTGCTGACACCTTGGGCTGGTTTAGGCCTGTCGTGGATAAATAATGATGACAATAAAACCGCCAGTAGGTGGCAGCAAGTCCATGTTTTAATAAATTATTAATTGAATCATTCAAATCAAACGATTCGTTCAAAACGGCTGATTCAATTAGAAACGAAATAAGTGAGTCCATCTGAACGGACTGTTGAAACACTGGCTCACTCGATTCAACATCGTTCAAAATCTAATTCATTCAAGGAACGAAACACCGTGTTGTTATGCACTGTTGTATAAAATTAATAGCACATTTGTCCTCGCGCACATATGCTGAAATTCAGAAAAGTGCATTGCTTGTGCAATGAAAATAAAAACGTAAAAACTCATACATGGGTATTTTTTTCTTTCATTGCTTGAATTATAAGGGCATTCATCGCGCAGTGAATGCTTTTGGACTCTCAAGACGTGTTTTTGTTTGGTTTTTGCAAAGTCGGTGACTCGATTATGTCAGCTCTACTGTCGTCTCTCAATCCATCACAGTCACACATACAGCACAATAACATAATGTCGGGGAATGTATTTAAATTATAATCAAGGAAAAATCATACCTTTTCTGTTTTGTTTTTAAAGAACTTCAAAAGTTGCACTTGAACCATTTTGCACGAAAAATTATGAAAACTTGCTTCCGCTTGTGAGCAAGCTTTGTTACAGTACCGAGTTCTGATTGGCCAATTGCCGCTATTTAGTTTGTGAATTATCATAAATAGAGACATTTCATTTTAACATTTCATTTGTTTTACATAATACACATTATTAATCTAAAAAGGATGGTAAGAGGGGATGGTGGTTTTACCAAGGGGATGCTTTTTGTCATTTTTTCAACCAGGGGGATGCCATCCCCCCGCATCCCCCTAAATTCGAGCCTTGTTTATAGTTACATATACAGTAAACTATTGTTACCATAGAGAAAAAAAAAGTAAAGAGGAAAAAGTAACTTGAAACATAGGCCTTTATACCATATGTACGTATGTAGGATAAGAAACCTCACATTCACAATTTGTCTTTACACATCCTTCAAATAACATTAATGTGACTATATTAACTATATTTAATGTCTCATTGAGCACATACTGTTGAATTGTGAACTATGCACTTTTGGAAAAATTATTCACTAGTTTATCAACTTCCTCCATAATAGCAATGTTAAAATGGTCATGAATGTATCACAGGAGAATTGTTTTAGTGTGTCAGAAAATCATCCATATTTCTGCCACGTTACAAATCAAGCATTCTGTGAAATAGAATTATGTTGTCAAAAGTATGGTAATGAAAATGATCTTTCACTTTTCAAGTGATAAATTATTATAATAAACTGGTTGAGGCTAATTTTAGAGATAGACACAATTATCATAAATACAAAACACAAGATTACATTAGAAATAACCCATATTAAAAAGAAATCTATCTATCTATCTATCTATCTATCTATCTATCTATCTATCTATCTATCTATCTATCTATCTATCTATCTATCTATCTATCTATCTATCTATCTACACACACACACACGTGTGTGTGTGTGTGTGTGTGCGCGTGTCAGGTCAAATGATATTTACCTATCTATTAGGATGAGTTGGAAATGGCTTGAACTCTTGCTACTGTAAATGCTCTAAAATTCTCAATGTTTATTTATTTACTTATTTATTTTGTGAGTATTTATCAAGTATGCAAGTTAGTTTATTTTGCTGGTCTTTATTTTTATATTATTATTATTATTATTATTACAATTTTTTGCTGGTCTTTATTTTAATTTTTTTATCTTTTATATATATATTTTAAGGATGCACAAGGTTCACAAAATAATTATTGTAACTTCTTTTATTTTATTTATTTATTTTAATTATTGTCAAATATATATATTGTTTAGGTTGTAAAAACAATCAAAAGTGTGCGGAGAGGACCAAATATACAGTATAATGTTATATAATGGGCTTCTGTATTATATGATTGAAATTCTGTAGTAAAACTAAAAATAAACATGAAAATCATTATAATTGATAACAGCATGATGGACAGTTTCCCAGACATTTTTAATGTGACCTTGCCATAAAAAAAATGCAAAAGTGCAGAACCTGTCATCAGTACTTGTCATATTTGTCTGAATGTGAACACTCACCTTGTATGGCGATGCTTCTGGTGTCCTGTAGTATAGAGTCTCCTGATGAGACCTGAACAGTGACGGTGACCATGCCCTCGGTGCTGAACGTGTGGGAAATACTGCTGTCCAACGTAATGATGGGCTAGCGCCACAAACATAGTGCATACAAAACAATAACAATCCAAATTTAAGCCATAGATGTTTTGGTATTTGTAAGCTCATTGACTTTCTTAAAAAGGAAACTCTATTAAAATGAATGGCTTTATTGATGTTTCAGGGCAAACAAGCATAAACTAAAGAACACATCTAAATATCACAAAAACGACAAGAACAAGAACTACATTATTAACAGTTCATTGCTCCTGTTCTGTTTATCTTCTACCGTAAAATGTCTCGGAGGCCTTCGCCCAACAAAGCGAGGCAGAAAATCTATAATTAGGAGCTGGTTGTACCTCCGTGTTGTTCCCCAGCCACCAGAAATAGGTGAGCGTTCTGAAATGAGAAGGCCAGACCACTGCCGTCAAGTTCACCTCCTTATTCTTAATGACCACATATGGAGCCAGCAGCTGAATATGCTCCACAGGGCCTGAAACACACACACACACACACACACACAGTCAATACAAGAACAGCAAACAGCACAAGGGGTGAGCAAAAGACTAAATATTTCGCAAAAACAACTAGCCAGTGGGATGAATAACTAGTCGACTATTTGGTCTTGTATAATTAGGCTGGTTTCGGCTTCACTTGACCCCGATTGGATGCTGTTCAAACACAGCTAGACGGAAAGCAAGGGAATGGAAACAGAATGTAGAGATCTTGAGACCTGTTTTTAAAAGTTTGAGTATTTTTAACTTGGCACGGCATTTTAAAAATGCAACACTCGCAGTGGGACGTTCGGAATAAATAAATAAATAAAACAGTGCCAGGAAGTCAGTCAACAAGTAACTTTTCCAATAGAGTTTTGATGGGCTAACAGTCTAACACCTAAAGCACAACATGCTAAATGAAGTATTAGACCTAAAAAAGTCAAAACTGGAAAAAAATACAGAAATAATATCAAGCATAGTGTTAGTTCTGGCAGGTCACGTTAGTCAAGCTCGCATCAGCTGACTCTCAGCTGATCCCTATCAAACTATGGGAGTAAGACACCTATCTAAGCATTCATGTATAAGGTCCCTCGCATTGCTCAATAGCTAATTACCCTCCTCCATCCCCAACTCCTCCTCTGTCAGTTGGGATTCAGCCTTCTGATTCTCCTTTGAATCAGACTAATTCTAAAATGTGTACATAAAATTATTGAACTTTAACAATATCTGCAATACATTTATGTTGGTTCTGTTCTGTTTACCCTGGGGTGTTATTGCGGTTATTGCTGCTCTCATCCATGCTAGGCTACATGAATGCGCAGGGAGTTCTTGCCCAGAACAGAACCATACCGCTAATCCAAACTGTATGCTAATTGTCAATCATCTTTGACGATAGTGGTCCTGACAGAAATACTGTAGATAAACTATTTGGACAACTAGACAACCATTGTCTGCACAAATACACAAATAAATACTAATAATAAATATAAATATATATTACTTCTGTCAGCATTTATTCACTCATCTGAGATCTTTACGCAATGTTTACTCCTCCCTGGGTGCAATTCTTTATTTCTTTTTTAAATAGCCTAACCAATGTTTAATGTATTAAATAATTCTGCTTCAGTATTTAATGCACACCAGGAAATAAAATTTGGAGCTAATTGCTCTCATCTGATCAAAAAGTGCCCACCCCCTGTTTGTTTGTGAAAAGTGGAGCTAAAAGCAGTAATTGAGCACCGCAGTATACTACACCTGTGGAGTTGAAGGACACATGCACATTTGGGCAGAGCAACTATGAAAGTCACCTACCTAGAGTAGTGTGCTCAGTTTGTGTTTAAGAGATGCTTATTCAAAGTTTGCTAACCAGTGCCCAGCCACTTTATTGCCTGTGTGGCTACCAAATTTTTTTTTTTACAAAAGATTTATTTAACATAGTAGACAAGACAGCCTCTTAGTATTTGTTGTATAATTTGTGCTATTTTGCCGGCTAAATAGAGTAGGATACTGGTTCATAATTGGGCCAATTAGTGAAATAACACTTTTTATTGCATTTTTGTTTTAATCAGTATTACTCTTGTTTATCTTTTTGTTCCATTTTTGTTCCTTTTTAAAACTATCTAAACATATTTAACAAATATCAACAATAATAATAAAAAAATAAATATTAAAACTTATTTTCAGAGAGAATATGACAAATTAGTCTGTTTTCTTCTACTGTTTTTTTTAATTGGTTTTAATCTCTTTATAAATTGCACTTACAGATAATAATAGTAATGAAACAAAAGGTCACTTAAGTGTACTTAAACAGAGTTTCTTGACTTATTTCATGACGTCTTAACACAAAATGCACTTGGAAAAAAAAAATATTAAATATGATCATATTATATATAT